AGTTCATTGCTCAGACCAGAAGTTTTTGCCCAGCAAAGGTAAGCCATGAAAAGACTCATTTTCATTCATCACTGGGAGACAATGAGAATATGAAGAGCAGCTCCCAGGTCCATAGTTCTCAGCTCCCTCTGTTCAGCAGAATCACATGAAGAGCTTTGAAAACTAAACCCTTTCCTGGTCCCAAGCTCAAAGCCACACATCAGGCTCTCGAGAGAAAGGGTTCAGCACCTGTATTTTCTTAAAGCTCCCCAGGGATTCTAAGGCATAGCCACGACTTAAGACCACACACTTAACCTAGTCAACATGGTTTATACAACAAAAGAAATCAAGTGAAGCCAACCACAAAAAATGACACAATTATTATTATTATTATTCATTTTAACAGTTGTTTTAGTGCAATTGCTATATGGAATAATCTTGCCCATCTATCTCTTCAGAGAATTTTCTGGTACAACACAGAGGATTGTGTTGTACACAGAGCTTTTACTGACCACTCCACAGGCTTAACTGAGGAATCACATATCAGCTAAACTGAATAATCTCAAAAAAGGCCCTATTCTGAGATGCTTATACAGAAGCAACACTGCAACTGGTATAACTAGCACTAGTGTTGGTAGGAATATAGCCTGACACAACAATTAACATTTTGGTGTGGTGAAACAGGGCTTGTTCTTAGCCTTCTTTTTTTAAAATCTTTATTGTTGAAAGTACTACATATGTCCCTTTATCCCCCCACTGACACTGACCTCTTCTAGCCTGCCCCTGCCCCCCCCCTCAACCCCTGCCCCCTACCCCAGACCTCACCACCCTATTGTCTGGGGCCATGGGTTATTCATATCCTATATAATAAAAGCTTAATATGCAAATCGACCAAACAGCAGAACAACCAGTGGGACAATCAGTAGCTATTGATGGGCACTGACCACCAGGGGGCAGCTGCTCAATGCAGGAGCTGCCCCCGGCCCGGCAGCCCCTGACCCAGCCATGGGGGTTTGGGGGGGAGCAGGGCCAGGAAAGTTGGGGGGCAAGTCCAGCCAAGGCAGGGACCAGCAGGGGCCCCCAATAGGCCCTCAGTCCCCCGGCAGATCGGCCTTGATTGTCAGGTCAGGTTTAGGGCCCTATGGGTATTAATTTTTGTGCACCCGGGGCTTCCTAGGAATGCCCCAAAAAGTCCTTTTGGGTTGAACTTTTGCTGCCTACCCACGCACCCACCCCCACCTTCCCTCTGAGATTCTTTTTAATATGTTCTTTATTGATTTATAGACCAGCAACATTTTTTACAACCAAATTATATTATGTTATTTTCTCAATTGAGAATTGGCCTGAACAGACTATTGGCCCAAATTACTTACAGAAAAAAAGAGTTAGAATTCAATTATTTTGTAGCAGAGGGAGATAATGATTGTTAAATATACCCACCTTTTAAATGATATATGGTAATTGATTTCACACCACAAATTACATTTTTTAGATACCTTGGAGAACATTTCAAAAAAGGTTTATCATCAAGAAATGGCATTTCCAAAGCTAAGTTTTCTTTGAGTCCTTTCTGGTAGTTTTATTCATATGGAGTAGAATTTGGGGGCCTTAAAAACCTAAAACCATTTTCTAAAGAGAGTCTTGGCAATGACTTTGGAACCCACGAGGCTCCTTAAAGTGAGATCTTCCTGTGTAGATAAGACATCCTTCTCTGACTCTCAGTTTTTATGTTAATCCCACACAGTGTGATGGTTTATTAACACGCATTAATGTTTAACCAGCTGGCAACATAGGACAGCTGTACTGTAGGCACCTGGTAATATAATCTTGAGCTCACTCACCATCAGTATTAACCAAATCAATATTAATTAATTGATGTAAATACATCCAATCATTGATAAATATTTGCATAAATGGCATGGATATACACAGTCTTATCTTCTTCTGAATACTCTGAAAATCACCTCAAATCCATTTAGCATATCATACGGGGCCTTTTAGAAATGCATTTACTGAATTGTGCTTTGTTGTGATGCCTTTCTGTGAATCATTATAAGACACATATTCATGAATTCATTCTTAGAATTATTGTAATGATAGAGCCAGGCACTAGAATGCATTTTATAGTTTTTGTCTTATTTCATTCTCACAACAAACTTATTGTCCTCATTTTACAGATGAGGAAACTGAAGGTTAAGTGATTGTTTGAGCTACATGGCTAGTAAGCGGGAGAGCCAGGTTTCAAGACCCTGTTTCAGACTTCAAAGCTGGGTCTAGGCCCCTCTCCACTGTCCATATGCAGTCAAGGGTGTTACTTACAGCCTCGCCCCATGCTCCTCTTTTAAAGATCCTGGGGAAAAATTCTTAACTGTACTGGGACCCAGTGTTAGTTATACTTCTCCTGATGAATTCATTGTTGTTAATCTTATAGGTCTTGTGAATTGTATAACTAAGTATCCCTTCAAGCTGCTTAGTTCACCTCAACCAAGTATGTAGTTCATTGTGGAATTCCTATGGATCCTCGTTCTTAGACTTACTTCGTCACCGTGTTTTAAACTTAAACTATTATATTACAATATGCCTTAAATCCTTTGATCGAGGAGGTGCGGACATAAGCAAATGAAGCGTGGAGGAGAGGAGAGCTCAGAGGCCCCATCAGGAATGAGGGAGACCCACTGAGAACCATGCCCATTTCTGCAGCGTATTTAATGGAATGATTTTGTAACTCCAGATCCAAGTCTCCATGATGTTTGATGGCCAGTCTGCAGTCGAAGTGCACCCTAAAGCCAGGATAGATGACTTAAGGACCTTCACGTCCCTGAGCCTGTACGTGAAACCTCCTGTGAAGCAGCCAGAACTGGCTGGGATTGCAGATCAGTTTATCCTGTATCTCGGAAGCAAAAACGTAAGAGCATGAGGTTTTATTTATATTTTTCATTTGTTGCGTTTTTTTCTTATTTTTCAATGACAGTTTACATTCAATATTATTTTGTATTAGTTTCAGGTGTACAGCACAGTGGTTAGATAATCATCTACTTGACAAAGTGTTTCCTCCAATATTCCCAGTACCCACCTGGCACCATACATAGTTAGCACAATATTATTGACTATATTCCCTATGCTTGACTTTACACCCTTGTGACTAGTTTGTAACTACCAACTTGTACTTCTTAAAAAGAGAGAATACTATTAAAAGAAAAATTGGTGCTTTTCCTTTGCCTTACAACAAAGCTACCCTATCCCAACAACAAAATTCCCATTCTGATAACTCGAAAAGTATAGGTCATTTTAGTGCCAAGACTAAAGTAGTGACTTAAAGGCAAGTAATTCCTTTTGTGTGGGATACCTCTGGGCTTGCTTTATATCAGCCTCACACTGCTATCTCTGAGGACTCTGAAAGTGCATTTCAAAGACTTTCAGAATACAGAGGCCTATTATGTTTGAAGATGCGTAACAATTGGTATTGGCAGATTGCATTATATCCCTGCTTAACTAAACAAGGTTAGCACATCTCGGCAGCCATCAAATGTCCATAAGCCTACAGTTGCTTGCCTCCATGTCCAGATGCACTTGGACAAGGCTAGGATGTGGGTAGTGGGGGGGACAGCAGACTGATGCAGCAACAGGGAGGATGGAGAGGAAGAGATGCTGCGCAATCTATCAGGAACTTTGGTTATAAATCAGAACAGACATGCCTGGATACAGCCAAGTATTGGAATTGCTTATTGTCCTTTAAAGAAATGAAAACAAAAGATGATGTTCACTCACTTGTATTTTATTTAAGTGACTTATTGACATTTCAGGCCAAAAAAGAGTATATGGGTCTTGCAATCAAAAACGATAACCTGGTGTATGTCTATAATTTGGGAGCTAAGGATGCAGAGATTCCCCTAGACTCCAAGCCTGTCAGTTCATGGCCTGCTTACTTCAGCATCGTCAAGATTGAAAGGTAAAGTGAATGCATGACACAGGACTGTGTGCACATTTTATAACCCCCCCCCACACACACACACACCACTCACAGTCTTCCTAGACTTCTTTCCAAATACCTTATTGAAAAACAAAAGGTTAGAAAAATAGACATCATTTTTAAAAAGCAATCTGATTATTAGATATTTTATCTGGTCTATCCATGAATTAATTTCGAGATGGAATGTCTTCTTTTTGCCCTTCCCATTGATTGCTGACATTCTATAACTGCTTATGAGTGACAAAAACCAAACCACCAGTTCTGTGACAAGAAAACATTAACATTTTGACATTAAAAATTATGTATTTTCTATAAATTATCAGGCTAATAAAGAGTAACAATTCTTCATCTCAACAGGGTAGGAAAACATGGAAAGGTGTTTTTAACAGTCCCAAGTCTCAGTAGCACTGCAGAGGAGAAGTTTATTAAAAAGGGGGAGTTTGCAGGGGATGACTCCTTGTTGGATCTGGACCCCGAGGACACTGTGTTTTATGTTGGTGGTGTGCCTTCAAACTTCAAGGTAAGCTCTCCAGGTATATTTTGACTTATTGCGAATCTACAGTGATTGTTTTCAAAAGTCTATAGACCTACAATGATTTGGGCATGGGATAGAAATCTTGATATTTTAAGAAAGAGCTTACTCAGTGGGTAGTAGATTTCTGAGCCAGGATCTATAAATCTGGTCTCTGCTACCCACATTTTCACAGTGTCAGATGCATTCAAGCTTTAGCTAACACTGGCCTATCAGTTCATTTCATTCTGACACATGAGTAAGTAATTAATAGTATTCCCTACCTACTGCAGAAGTAGCTGTACTTTCTGAGTTTGTATCTAGCCTTCAGGCTCACAGATGATAGGTTCAAAAATTTAGTTATCTCAACTAATATAAGCATAAAATAAAATATAAAGGGGGGATGAGATCTAGGGAGGAGTGTGAGACCCAATGAAAAGCAAATAAAGGAAAGGACCAAGAAAACAGTTGATTTAGGATTCGATTCCAGAATTGTTATTTACTAGTTATAGGCACATTATTAAGCCTCAGAATTACTTCCCCTTTATATGAGAACAGAAATAATTACTTCACAGAACTGGTGTAAGGATCGACTTGGGTTATGAATTCACTGTCCAGTGTGTAACTGGCACATAGTATATGCTCAATAAATCCCCCCTCTCTGCTAAGATATGTACAATGGGAAAATCATGATGGAACTAAATGATTTGGCATAGAGTAGATGCAAACTCAGGGCTGGAAAGACATCTATACCAATGGACAGATCTCCTGGGCTTGCTGTTTGTTTCACCGCCTGTTCTGTGTGGCCCAGGTGAAATGTGATCCTGGGACAATTGACTTTGCTTTGTCTGTTGCACAGCTTCCTGCCAGCTTAAACCTGCCTGGCTTCCTTGGCTGCCTGGAATTGGCCACTTTGAATAATGATGTGATCAGCTTATACAACTTTAAGCACATATATAATATGGATACCTCCAAGTCAGTGCCCTGTGCCAGGTAAGGAAGTGTTAGGAGTGCTGAAGACTTTGCTAGCCATGAAAGAGCAGCAGGGAAACACATGTGGGTCAATATTCAGGTTCCCAATCTTTTCTTGGGGGAAACCAGTTTGGAAACCAATAATAGTCATGCCTGAAAAACACTTTTTAGGTTTTCTCTGCCATAGATGAATATGCACAATTATAAAAAGATAACTTGTTTGTAGCTTTGATTTTGGATTCCAGAGACTGAGATTTCACTAGAGACTTCTGTTGTCTTAGCACAAAGGTTAGAGAAGAAATCTATTAAAAACAATTCATTTAACTTACCAATAAATGCCTCTTTATGTCACCCACGCAGACATCATTTCATTTAAATGCTGGAAGGCCCAAGGAAGATGTCATGAGATGGGTTAAAAGGGCCTCACTTGAGAAGCATGTCATTGTAATGTTTATATGGTCCTTGCATTTTTATTTCAGAGATAAACTGGCCTTTACTCAGAGTCGGGCTGCCAGCTATTTCTTCGATGGCTCTAGTTATGCTGTGGTGAGGGATATCACCAGGAGAGGGAAATTTGGTCAGGTGACTCGTTTTGACATAGAAGTTCGAACACCAGCTGACAATGGACTTGTGCTCCTGATGGTCAATGGAGTGAGTAAAAACAAAAGTGCTACATTTTCTTTATTTCCTTTACTTTCTGCTATGCATATTTCTAGGAACCTTCCAAGGTTGTGTCATGCCATCAAACTGAAGTTTTAATTTAGAAATCAAACTTGGATTATTTCTTTCAGTGAAGTGATGTCCGCAGTAAGTAAAGTAGCCCTAAGACGCGTTTCTCGCAGTTTTGAGTGTATATTAAATATATCCTCTTTAACATACTGAAGGAATTTTGAAGAAAATCAGTGCCAAAAATTAGGAAAAGCTGTATGAATATGGAAATTTAACACTGACTTTTTAAATCATATGCCCTAATCAGTAAAAAAAAAACTTTGCATGTCTACTATATATGTATGTGTATATATACATATAAACATTACTTTATTAGTGATTTGCATATGCCATATATGGATATAATACATAAACTGGGAATAAAAGACAATTTATATAAAGATAGTATTGAATAAAAATAAATGTTATTTTAAAATAAAGACAAAATCAAATAAAATTACTTTTATTTGTTAATGATACAAAAAGTATTGTTAATATCAGTGTTAAAACAATGTAATTGAATATGCTTAAGTATTTTTGAAAGTCTCATTAAACTCTCTGTGATAGAATGATTCAAAAGTCTTGTCCTAAGTCCAGTTTATTTCAATATAATGTTGTTTCTTCACCTATCTTTATTGGACAAGATACCTCATAAAAATAAAACTGTAAGAAGTGTATTATTGGCTTTGTTTACTATATCATGATACCATTTTATAATCTCATTCACCAGTTGGTAAAAGTTGTCTTTGAAATTTGTCTGGTACATTTCCAGCTTTCTTGATGTCAGTCTTGCAAGCTGATCAGAAAATATGTCATTTTGTACACTTTAACAAAGGGGTTTAAGACCATTGGAAATCTTCATTGGAAAGATTTTAAAACAGAAATTTCTTTTAGAAATTTAGAAATTTCTTTCCAGAAGTATTTTAATAGTGCAAACATGCCAGTTTTTATAGGAAGTAAACATTCATTGTGTTCAACAAGTTCACTTAACAACAGAAAAATTTCCAAACACATTTTTTAAAAACCATAAATCCAGTGCTTCAAAATAATAAAGAAGTTGACTTCTTTTTTAATATCCATATTTGTTGATAATTATTTAAGGTTTTTTTTACATACCTTGGAATTAATATTCAATATCACCAATGTTCCTCTAAAATGAATGCAATCACATGTATTGGCTTCTTATAGTTTTCAAATTTGCCTACAGAAAAGGCAGTTGAATACATATGGCCTATAATACTCTGTTTTTTAAATTTTTTAAAGGTCATAAGCTAAACATAAAATTTCGTTAATTCATAGGGTAAATTAAAAAACAACAGAAGATAGTTGCTTTAAATTGTATATAAATATTAACATTTTGGAATGCTAATATGAAACATAACTGACGAAGTGGATGTACTTGTAATTTTTAAGAACTTCATGAGACATCCTTACTCTTCAAACAACTTCAGTAATAAAGAATACAGTGTTATATTTATCAAATTCAGCTAAATCTGCGCTTTTGTAAGAGCAGATGCTCACATCTTATACATCCTTCTCTCTGCAGAGTATGTTTTTTAGCCTGGAAATGCGCAATGGTTACTTGCATGTGTTCTATGACTTTGGATTTAGCAATGGCCCTGTGCATCTTGAAGACACTTTGAAGAAAGCTCAAATTAATGATGCAAAATACCATGAGGTACAAATCTTTGCTATTTGGGTAGTTTTACCTGTTTGATTTGGGTTTGTTTGAACTTACATCTATTGGTCTAATCCAATTGTCAACCTCGATAGGTAGAAAAGTAATTAAACTAAAAACCTTCACATTTAAAAACTGGCTGAAGGGTTCTCATCTACTTAACTCCAGGATAACATTTGCTTCAAAAAGTGGCTTTTTTGGTGATATTGACCTTACTAAGAGTCACTGAAAGGTTCATTCTAGTTGCTTCATTAACCCAAAGGCTCCAATTATACTCAAATCGTGATTACAGTGACACTCCTATAGAATCCTTCTATAGAAAATGCCAGGTCTAATATACAGCCATTTGTTTACTTATCCTTTGAGCTCCAATGAATATAAAAAGAATATATATAAGTAAATAAAGGATCACCTTTTAAATCACTTATCTAGAACTTAGAAAATACTAACACAGATTCCACATAAAGAGAACCCACAAAGAATGCTCTTTAGTCTTGAAATAGATGTTCAGCAGACTGATAGCATGCTTCATCTATTTTTATTAAAAGTGACTTTAAATTTACAATTTAATAGAATGTAAAAAAGGCACAATATCTTTGAAGCTGAACTGAAATACAGAGAATACAGGCTATATTTTTCTTTTTAG